TCTACCTCTCAATGCCCTTTATCTATTTCAGCCGTCCTTATACCCATGTCCCTCTGGTAATCACCAGTTTGGTCTCTAGCTGGGAATCTGTCTCTGGTTCTTTGTTCGTTGTTTTTGTTTTTTAGATTCCAAAGGCAAGTGGAATCATACACTATTTGTCTTTCTCTCTTACTTCACTTAGCATAATAACTTAGCATAACCTGGATCCTCCAGGTCCATCCATGTTGTTTCAAATAACAAGATCTAATTTTTTTAAGTAACTGAGTAATAGTAATTGTATGTATATACACCACGTCTTCTTTATCCATTCATCTATCCATGGAACCTTGAGCTGCTTCCATATCTTGGCTATTGTAAATAATGCTGCCACAAACAGATGGGTGCCTGTATCTTTTGAAATTAATGTTTTAATTTTCCTCAGCTAGATATCCAGAAGTGGAATTACTGGATTGAATGGTATATCTACTTTTAGGGTTTGGTTTTTTTTTTTTTTTGAGGACTCTCCATACTACTGCTACCCACAGTGGCTAGACCAGTTTGCATTCCCAGCAGTGCATGGGGTTTCTTTTCCTCTACATTCTTGCTAAAATTTGGTCTTTTGATTCTAGCCATTCTGACAGGTGAGAGGTGGTAGCTCCTTGTGGTTTTGACTTGAGTTTCCCTGACGATGAGTGATGTTGAGCACCTTTTCATGTGTCTGTTAGCCATTTTTGTATGTCTTCTTTGGAAAAATGTCTATTCAGGTTCCCTGCCCACTTTTCAATCAGACTTTTTTTTTGGTGTTAAGTTCTTTATATATTTTGGATGTTTACTCCTTAGTGGATGTATCATTTGTAAATATCTTCTCTCAGTGGCCTTTTTGTTTTGTTGGTGGTTTCCTTTGCTGCGCAAAAACTTTGTTTTGATGTAGTGCCTGTTGTTTATTTTTGCTTTTGTTTCTCTTGCCTGGGGAAACCTATCTGGAAACAAATGGCTAAGGTTGATGTCCAAGAGATTACTGCCCATGTTTTCTTTAAGGAGTTTTATGAATTCAGGTCTTTAATCTCTTTTGAGTTTTTCCTGTATGGTATAAGAAAGTGGTTTCATTCTTTTGCATGTAGCTGTCCAGTTTTCCCAACACCATTTATTTAAGATGCTGTCTTTAACCCACTGTGTATTTTTGCTTCCTTTCTTGTAGAAGAATTGACCATATAACCATGGATTTATTTCTGGGTTCTCAATTTCTATTTCATTGATCTCTGTTGTTGCACCAATACCACACTGTTTTGATTACTATAGCTTTGTAGTGTACTTGAAAACTGGGATGTTGATACCTCCAGCTTTGTTCTCCTTTCTCAAGATTGCTTGGGCTACTGGGGGTCTTTTGTAGTTCCCTAAGAATTTGAGATTTTTGTGGGGCACCTGACTGGCTCAGTTGGTAGAGTATGTGACTCTTGATCTTAGGGTTGTGAGTTTGAGCCCCACAGTGGGTGCAGAGATTACTTAAAGAATCTTTTTTTTTTTTAAACTTTAGCATTGTTTTTGTTCTAGTATGTGGAAAAATACTAGTGGTTATTTTGATAGTAATTGCATTGACTCTGTAGATTGCTTTGGGTTGGACATTTTTAACAGTATTCTTCCAATTCATGAACATAGTATATTTTTCCATTTGTTTGTGTTGTCTTCTATTGGTTTCATCACTTATCTTAGTTTTCATAGTATAGGTATTTTACTTCAATGGTTAAATGTATTCCTAGGTATTTTATACTGTTTGATGTAATGGTAAATGGGATTTGGTTTTCTTAATTTCTCTTTGTGCTATTTTGCTATTAGTGTATAGAAATGCAACTGATTTATTTTTGTATCCTACAACCTTGAATTTTTTAGTTCTGATAATTTTTTGGTGCAGTATTTAGGGTTTCCTATATTCAGTATCCTTCATCTGCAACTAGTGAGTTTTACTTCCTCCTTACCGATTTGGAGGCCTTTCATTTCCTTTTCTAACTGCTATGAGTAGGACTTCCAGCACTCTGGTGAAAGTGGACATCCTTATCTTGTTATGATCTTTGAGGAAAAGCTTTCAGCATTTCACCCACTGGACAGTGGGTTTGCTATATATGGCCTTTATTATATTGAAGTATATTTCCTCTCTGCCCACTTAGGAGTTTTTATCATGAATGGATATTGAATTTTGTCAGATGCTTTCTCTGCATCTTTTGAGATGATTATATCATTTTTAGTTTTCATTTTGTTAATAGAGTGTACCATATTGATTTTGTGTATGTTAAACCATCTTTGCATCCCTGGAATAAATCCTGCTTGGCTGTTGCGAATGATCATTTTAGTGGATTGTTAAATGTAGTTTGCTAATATTTTGTTGAGGATTTTGGCATCTGTGTTCACCACAGATAGTGATGTGCCTTGGTTTCAAATTATTCTATTCAAAGGTTATACTGATAGATTCTTCCTAAAGATAAAAACAGAAGATTTTCAAGTTTGCCCTGCCCATTGCTGTTTATCTTAAAAAACAAAAACAAACAAACAAACCCCTTTTTTTTTCCTTGAAGTTTACTGGGATAATGCAAAGATTCGATTGGCAATAAGCCATAAGGAAATACTCCTGTACCAGTCAGGAATTCTGTGGCTGACCTATTGGTCCAGCCCCTTCTCCTTCGCTCATTTTCATTATAAAGGCTACTTGCTTACTCTGCCTCTCTTACACAATACTAGGCAACAAGATATAAGCACAAATGTGGTAGAAGCTTCTGGAAAAGGTTTTACTCTCCTGACAGAAAGGACAGGTACACCAGGCACTGCCCCTTCTCCCAGCTTCCGATGTAATTATATACTCTGGACCTGTGGCAGCCACACTGCAACCATAAGGAAAAGGCCAAGAAATCACTTGTTATATCAGGAGGAAAGTCTTTGCTAAAGCTTAACATCAATTTAAATATATTTAGAAACTATACATTGGAAAATGTATTTAAATATATTTAAAAATCTCTTATTAAACAATTTCTATATTTTGAGGTGATACTGCAAATAAAGTTTTCTGATATAACCAATTAAAATTAACAGATCAATCTGTATGCCTGTCTAAATGGTGATACCAAGTTCAAAACCAATTACTCCTTACCTAGCTTGCCTTGTCCTATCAGTAGGGGTACAAAGACACATAAACCAACAGATAAATTATATATTACATGTTTATTAAGGGCACAACTTTTATGTAAAATTTACATTTTATGAAAAAATCGAAAATATTTACAAAATTGTGTAAGATAGATTTGCATTGTTCTAATTACAACTCAAAGTAGTAAATAATATTTCTTAAAAACTCACATTTGTTAGAGTTCTGTGTTTACAAATTCTTGGTTAAAGAGGCAGCTACAAAGTTTATCACTATACATAAGCAAGAACCAGCTTGCTAAATACATTTCCCATTGAAAATCTACTGGTCTTTTTTATACCATTAGTGGATTTTTAAATGAAAAACAAAATCAATATAAACTCATATGGCTTCAAAATTGTAACCTGCGCCTAAATACAAATGTAGGTATCAACACTTGGTATGAAGACTGTGGTAATTAAGAAAGTGCAGAAGTTTAACCATTTCACTAATTTGAACATTTTCAGGTAATACTTGATTTAAAAACAAACATGGTGAGTGTAATGGTGTCAAGTCCAATAATAAAGTATTAACTGCCCATTAAAAGCTGCCCGATTACAAAGCAGTTACATTTAAGATTCCAGTAAGGGACTGTAATTGGCATTTAAAAGAACACAATATAAGAGCAATTCTCATTTCGCTCACTATGTAGTAAAGATGAACATTTCAGCAAATTGTCTTAATGTGTTGCTTTAGTCAAATCTAAATTTAGAACTGGGCTAACACTGAATATATTTAAAAAGCACATATTGTGTTATATGTATTGCTAATAAGTAGATTTTCTGCTATATTTAGTAGAGCAAGACATTACATAAGTGTCTAGTAGTAGGGGTTTTATGTTCTGTAAAGCTTAACAGAATAATTAGTGGTTTTATATAAATTATATAACACAATTTATCACTTCTACGTAAAAATGCAGGACACTGGCATTTATCCTTATAAATAAAACTCCCATTTGTAAGTTATGAAACTGTCCAAAATATTTTAAGTCTTTCAGTTAATCAGGATTTGCTACAAAGTTAGTTTTACTATTTAATATTAGTAGTTCAAGAAAGGCTTAACCCAATCCATCACTTCAAATAATCTCCCCATTTCTAGCAGGTGGCAGTTAAATAATAAAAACATATAAATTGGTAATTTTTCCAATTGTTGAAATGAAAACAACTGGCAGTACTTCTCCAATGCCAAAACTAATATTTCTTAAATCAGTTTCTCACAAAATACAAAATTCATGCTCACAACACATTCAGTAAATGTATATAAATTTCCAATGATAAACAGAATGAAGGGAAATGCCAAGTTGAGAAATAAAACAGCAGTTACCAATTAACCATTCATCAGTTTTTCAATATTTGTTTTATGATTTACATACTTAGGTGGAATAACTGAAGGTAACTTTCCCCCCTGTAAACATATGCCCTTAGATATAGTTCTCTTTCTAGTGGCTACAGTGTTATCACTAAAGAAGTGAGCCAGGGTTTTTAAGTACAAAATTACCCTTTAGTTACTCTGAATTCCCTTTCCAACTGAGGCCAAAGGTATTTACAGAAATGGCAATTATCTTGTAAAAATGCTTGACCACCCTAAGATAGAAGATCCAGACTGTGAGGGGGGGAAAGTGAGGCACGTTAATGAACACAAACTGGATAGGCACATTTCTGGCTTTTGTTATTGTTTTAAAAGGCACACATTATGTAATCCATATAAAAATAAATTAAATCTACAGCATTAATTCTTAAAAACAATCACAAATTCTATAAAGTTAACTAACTGCAGAAGTAAATTTCTCTGCGGTCTTTTGCAAGCTTATTTTAACACACATTGCACTTGAGAATTAAAAAATCATACAAAACACCATCTACACTTTATTAATGTTTATATGAGAATCAAATTATACATTTTTTGCATACGCCTTGGACTCTGGTCTGATTATGGCACATAACTCAATTTGATTGAGTATTCTAAATTAACATTATCCAAAACTTACAATTCAACGTTCTGTGTGTCTCCATTCATATCAAACTTAGGAAATTTCAAAGCTATCTCTGACTCTAAAAATTAATGGAAAGCTGAATTATTTTGTGCTTGCTCTCCTGAAATTTTAGGCCTGATAATACACTACAACTCAACATAGACACTGAAGATAATGTAAAATTTCAGCCTAGGAAAACTTCATTTTACTGAGAATCTCAAAGGTGCTTCCGGAATATGGCAGTTGATCATTAACAGTGTTGAAAATCATTTCAGTGCTATTGCTTTTGATGAGTCACTTCAAAAGTGCAATTTAATGTTTGTAATCAGTTCTCAAATATATGTAAGTTCAAAGACCTAATACAAGCTAAAACAGTGTTGGAAAGAACAGACAACACAGGATGGCAGGCCTGTAATTCTCTCGAGCCAACCAGTTTCCCAGGTCCATCAACAATCCGCCAGGTATCGTCCTGAAAAACACCAAGCAGACCCCAGCAATTACACTTTCAAATGAACTCAAAGGAGGACATTTTCACTGTGGGTACAGATACACAAACTCAGTTCCCACCTGCTGTTTACAATACATTAGAAACAGATCACAGGTGTCCGTCCAGCTGTCCGGACCATGCTTACTCTCTCCCAGGTGTTTCTCTACCTGGTACTTTGTACAAAGGTCAAAGAAGAAAGTTTCCATGACTTTAGATTACAAACTGCTTGACAATTTAATAAACAGTTGCTTAGAAACTTACTGTTCGAATATAAATGTTTCCCATGTACATTAAAAACTTAAAATCTCCCAACTTACCAGTGGCAAACCGCTTCTTTACTAAGGAAAGCCTATAGCCAGTGCCTACAAGTTCAATATCTACTCCTGAGAGGGTATTTCCCTCGCTGAGGAATTGCACTGCAAGTGTGGTGGGTCTACTAGGTCCTTCTGAAAGATCAAATTTTGCTCTGAGGGACCCAGAACCTACAAGGCAAAGAATAAAAGAACTTAAATAGGGCAACATAAAATTGACACAGAAACAAGTGAAGATGAACTATGTCCTATGCCAAATTCATAAAATGTATACAGTAAACAAACCATTGTCCTGTTTCCAAAGCAGACTTTATTCAATGAATCTGAATTAATTTAATCCCTGCTTCTCTCTGACTTAATAGTAAACACCCTGGTAGATTCCTACTGAGATTCAATGTGCTACATACAGACACATGTGGAAGTAAGTCGAAAGAGAAAAAGGGAGTCCATGAGGGCAGTTCAGAGGGAAACCCTAGGAGGAGTACGAGTAGGAATAAAGTCAAAAGGAAATGACAGCAACTACCATATTATGGGAGTGGGAGAGGTAAAGAAGGAAAGACAGCTAAGACTGGGAAAGCTGTATCAACATTATTTTCTACTCCGCTTCTTCAAATTTAACTGGTACTATCATGCCAAATACAGCTGACCTTTAAACAACATGGGTTTGAACTATGTGGGTCCACTTAAACATGGATTTTTTTCCCCCATCAGTACAGTACTGTACATGTATTTTCTCTTCCGATTTTCTTAACATTTTCTTTTATTTCGCTTACTTTATTTTGACGATATCTGTGTATATAATAACATAGAACAGTATTTTCAACTGTTATCAGTAGAGCTTCTGGTCAACAGTAGACTATTACTAATAAAATTTTGGGGGAGTCTAAGTTATATGTGGATTTTTGACTATACAGTGTCACCAGGGTGGGTGGGGTGCAGAGGGTTCGGCACTCCTCACCCCTGCATTGGTCAAGGGTCAACTAGGTAGTTCTGAGATGCTTTCTTTTCAATATAACCATTTATTCAACATACCTCAGTCTAACCGTGTGCCAGAAACTGTAAACCAAATAATTATGATGAATATGATAAATGCTGTAAAAGAGCTCTCAAGAGCTATGGGCCCAATGTGAATTGCAGGCAGCGGTAACTACAGGTACAGAGATGGGAGACCTGAGAGAGCACAGTGCCTTTAAGCAGGGAACTGCATACATCACAGAAGAGCTGGAGAACAGGATGCAAGAGTGGCAGAAGATAAGACTAGGGTAGGAAGGAACACGTTGGAAGTATCTTTACAATTCACGATAAGAAATAATCATAGGGAGCCACTAAAGATAAGGAAGACAAAAACATTTCAGATTAGTATCTCAAAAGGGGACCGAAGTATAAGATGCAAGGTAGGGAAACCAACTAAAAGTCAATAAAACAGTGTAGAACTCTATGTGACAGTTGATTAAACAGGGGATCTCAACTAGGCTAAGGGAAAGGAAAGAAGTAAATGCATTTGAAAGATATTTCAGAGTTGGGAGTCAAAAAAGGGGGAAAGGAGGAGTAGTCTAGGGGCATGCTCAGGTTTCTGGTCAAGGAAAACAGATGGAATTGCCAGGTAGCAGGAGTGACGTTCTAGGATTCCATGCACAGAAGCTGAACACCACAGAGGGAAATCTGGAGGAAGATACCATAACCGTGATCCAGCCTGCAGGACTGCACCTGATGGCACAGATCAGCTGGGGGATGAACTGCTGCCTAATTCTTAACCACTGTCCAAACCCTCCTTACACTTCTACAATTCTCTTGATAGGCAGTTCAATTCTGTGAAAGTTCTACTACACAGGCCAAGAGCAGCCACCTTGGCAGTGCTTAAACTTGAGAATTATTTCCTGTCCCTCTTCTGGGCATAATGCCAGAATAGAAACATATTCCTATTTTACAGCATTCTAATTTGGATATTTCTTTTTAAAGGCTGACTAACCAAATCAGAACCACATTTAAAAGATTCTAACATTTCTTCACACACTTGATACCTGAACCGCAGAGGCAAACTATTAAAATATCTGGTTAGAAAATTTGTATCTTATTTTTGAAGGAACAATTTCCCTTGTTAGTACTTAAAATAGTACAGTTTCATTAAGCAGGGGAAAAATCTGTGTCCTCTCTTCCCTGCTAACTGGTTGTAAGCCCTCAATTCAAATAGGACTTCTGGTTTACTTCTAGTTTTAACTACGAATTTTAAATTTGTCTCCCCAGAAGCCATAATGCTTGAGTAAAAGTCAGCACCACTGGCACCTGAAAACAGGCAAACTTCAAGTACCAAACAGCAACAAAGGAACTGTAGATCATCTTGGCTATTTCACCAAATAGATGTTTCTCTAGTAAAAGTATGACTCAGCATGGCATGTATAAATAAATAGCCACTACAGATATGTTGCTGGTCCTTGATAAAGAAATATGTGAGAAAACCTACTGAAATGATTTATGTTTTGATCACAGTATGCTTAAAATGTTCAAAGAGAAAAAGCTTAAGCAAAACTGGAAAAGCTAAAAAAAAGAAAACAAACCTACTTAACAGGAAAAGTTATTGAAGGTTAAATTAGGCATTCAAAGGAGAGCAGGAAAATGAAATACAATCAGAGAAAGACAATTATCATATGATCTCACTGATATGTGGAATTTGAGAAACAAAGCAGAGGATCATAGGGGGAGGGAGGGAAAAATGAAACAAGACAAAACCAGAGAGGGAGACAAACCATAAGAGACTCTTAATCTCAGGAAAAAAACTGAGTGCCTGTGATGAAGCTTGCACTGGTAGGGACATCTGAGGAAAAAAACTGAGGATTGTTGGAGTGGTGGGGGGTGGGAAGGATGGGGTAACTGGGTGATGGACACTGGGGAGGGTATGTGCTATGGTGAGTGCTGTGAATTGTGTAAGACTGATGAATCACAGACCTGTACCCCTGAAACAAATAATACATTATACGTTAATAAAAAAAAAGAGCAAGAGAATTCTCTTAACTTTAAGAGAAAATGAGAATAATTAAAGACTTGATGGTCCTGGAAATTATATTCTAAGTTGACTTAGAGGAGACACTAGGGTGACCACCCAGCAGAGATTTTTCCTTTGCATTTTGAACACAAACAGATGGAGACTTGGTGGGAGTAAGCAATTAACTTGTTTCTCCTTAAAATAATAAGCAGAGAAGTAAAAGCTGTTGATGGTTGGTTTTACTAAGGTGATACGACTAAGAAAAGTTGTCTTAGGAAGGTGGGAAGGCAAAGAAAGAGGATTTTTTAAGTCTGGAAGCTTCTGCATGATTTCTGGGAGGCCAGGACCCCAATAACAGAATGATCTAAAGGGTGTGTTAAAAGAGTTTCAGTTAGTTATCAGGTTACCCAGCAGGATAGATGGTTCTACTTGAAAATACCTAATAAAAAATTGACTGTTACCATGTGAGCATACGCATTTACATAGTTTTTATAAAGTTACAGCGAAACAAATGCTTTTTCTTACAGAGAAAGCATATTCAATCTAGAGGGGAAATGTGTTCTGAATATCAACTGGTGCACTCTTATTTAAGGTATTAACTTCCACCTAGTGGTCAATTCTAGAACTGAAGGCATGAAAATCCAAGAAAAAGCTTTCCATAAAAATGCCTAAAAAATCCATTTTCAGGGGCACTGCATTACAAACAAAAAAGCATATACACTTACCTCCATTTTCTGATTTCTCTGAAATACCAGAGAGTTTCCAAAAGGCTTTCATTTGTTCTGCATTCCTGTAAGAACAAGTATCTTCAGATTGTGTCCAGTATAGTGCCTTATAGGATGGGCAGTCAAAAAATAAATGTATTTTAAATATTTCGCCAGAACAACTATAGGGCTAAATTTACTTTTAGTATTACCTGGTGAAGATGTGTTCATGATATAATATAATGCTAATATCTTAATGGACATTTACTAGATTACAAAGTTTCTTCTGGTCAGAGAGAGGAAAACTGAATGTATAGGTGGTTCGGTACCTTCATTACTAAAGGAGAAGAAAATTTTATTAAACAGTGAAGCAAATAGAGTGTCAGAATCTCATATTAATAAAGGGAACAAGAGAAGAAGTTAAGAGATGAGAGTTACTAAACTAGTAAGACAGGTGTCCTTACAGATATGCTAGATGTTATATATAACTCTGCAAAGTAATTATCTTTTTTTTTTTTTTTTTTTAAGAAAAATAAAGTTGACAGAGGTTAAGCAATTTGCCTAAGGGTAAAGTTGTACTGTATCATTCAGGTCTAGGTGGTGACAGCAAACCCACTTCTGGAATGAGGCTACTGGGATTAGACTAATAGGATGAACAGCATCTTTCATACATACCGTGGTTTCCATGGTAAAATGCACTAAAACTTTCCAAACTTACAAGACAACTTTGAGAACTTCGGTTCTAGAAGTTGGGACTTGGAGGAGAAATTGAGCAGGAATTCAGAAATCTAAAATTTACCATATTGCAGGGGGAAGGGACTGCATGTTTGTGACTCCTCCATCCACAGGTACCACCACCTGTATGTTGGAAAGCACACTTGGTGCCACCATAGCTTCTGGGTTGTACTTATAATCCACTCTAAGATCTGTGGTGCCAGCACTGCATTTCCAGTATGTTGCAAGATTTAGAGGAGTGGACTGAATACCATTTGATGATACCTTTAAAGAGAAAAAAACCCAAGAAAGTTTTTTGCCCCAAAAGTAAACAAGTCATGCTAATGAGATGTATACATGACCACAAGAGTCTTGGAATCAGAAACAATGACGGAAATACTGCTAGGCAGAATAAAGCAGGTTCATCTCAAAGGAGTAAGAGTCACTCTCCAAGTGTGGATCTAGGACTACATACATCAAAATATCCATGATATTTGTGCAGAATACACATTCCTGGAGATCCAAATACAGAGAATCTGACTCAGAAGCTTAGGTGCAAGGTCCAGAAATAAGTATATCAGGTGATTCTTATTTATGCATGTAACTTTTGAGTATCTCTCAATATCCAACACAGAATTCTAAGATTCCTTATGAATTTAAGAAAATTAAAAAAGATAAATTATGCAATACTGCAAGTTGAGAATTAGAATACTTCCAACTGCAAGTGTTTAATTTTAACCACATGACCCATAGTAAATGGTGCAGTTCTTTTCCATTCTTTAGTTCCCTGCTCAAATAACTCCTTTTTAATGAGACCTACCCTGATCACCCTGTCTAAATTTACACTAATATTACATTTTCATTCTTCTTTATTCTGCACACTTTGCCTTTTCTCAGTAACATACATTATTATCTACTTACTCTATATACTGTCTATCTTTCATGCTATTCCTAGTAAACAAGCACTGAATAACATTTACAGAATTAATAATAATGAATACTTGCAATAAACTTTAAGCCCATTTAAGTGGCAGCACTTTTTAAAGTATTTATTTTCTAGAAACACAAGCCATTTTAATACCATTACTCTATTAAAAATTCAGATAGTATGGGGGCAAGGAGGGCAGCGCCTGGGTGGCTCAGCTGGTTAGGCATCTGCCTTGGATTCAGGTCATGATCTCAGGGTCCTCGCATCAAGTGCTGCGTTGGGCTCCCTGCTCAACGGGAAGCCTGCTTCTCCCTCTAT